ATATTTTTCTCATGTCCACCAATAAACATATTTTCATATTTTTTTTAAAATTATTTTCTCAACGAAATAAAAAAGAACTAAAAGTATTGGATCTTGGATTGGATTCGAACAAAGAATATAATTGAAGCTTTTCATTTTTTTTCTTTCTTTCATGACATATTTTAATCTTATCTACTTGATGTTGCTATTCACAGAACGTTAAATAATTTACGTGATTTAAAAATATATTCTCTCGTTGAAAAAGAAAAAAAAAGAAAAAAAAAACTTCTATTATTAATTAAAATTGAAAATAAGGAAAACTAAAACGTACAGTTGTCTCGAAATTCATAAGTATCTTCAAAGAAAATAATGTTTAACTTGTTTTTCAATAAAAATGGTCTACTAATTAATAATTCCTTCACTTTTCATTTATTCGAGATAGTCTCATATCAGTCGATTTGGTTCACATACATATCAACAACTGTTATATCAATCAATCAAATATTGAATCAATAAAAAAGAAAAAAAAAAAGAAATTTCATTTTGTTTCTATACTAAACGTATTCAATTGAATTTAATATTGAAAAATTTCTTATATAAATATATAAAATAAATAAATTGAAATGAACTTTTAATAGTTATATTGAAGAATATCGAAAGATCATTAAATAAATAAAATGTGTTAAGATGTTAAAGTAATGAATATCTATTTGAGATGATGTAATTCTTATTTAGTTCATTATGAAAAGATTATCAATGTGTTAAGATCTATTCATTTAGAAAATGAAGAGATTATCTCGAAAGATCGACCCACATATCCTATCATTACTTCTTTTTACAACATATCAACGTTTATTTAAGATATTCTTTAAAATTGAATTTATTCAATTTTAATATTAGCATAGAAGTAAAACATTTATTATTCTAGTAAAGAACAATAAAAAATTAAAAATGTTAATCTTGAAAATAATATTCAAATAAAAAAATTACTTTAATATTTGTCTGAAATTGTTCATCACAAATTGATTTTCGAAAATAAATTAAATTTGAAAAAAATAAATAGCAACGATTACAACAACAACAACCGGTCATACTCTTTCAATCGAATATAGACAAATGACATGATGAGAATGAACAAATATTATTCAAGATATAATCAGAAAAAAAAACATGTCAAATATTCTCTTTAATGTATTTGAAGAGTACATAGTTTTTATGTCTGTACTCTTCCGATCGACGATATCGTATTCGAAAGATTTCATTCTCAATCATCTTTCATATTGATTCAATCAAAAAGAACTATGTCAACAAACAAAAGAAGAAATATTCGTTTCAATACCTGTTGTCGTATGGTAGTCATTTTTGTTTGTGGTATACGTAACGCCATGAATGATGTTCAACAAGAAATGTCTCACCTATACAAATGTCAAGAGAAAAAGAGACAAACTTTCTTTTTCTCTTTACAATTCTTTTATAAAAAAAAAAGAAAAAAAGTAACGATAGTCCGTGATGTAATTTCTATGTGTGTGAAGGTTATCACAATCGTCAAAAAAGAAAAACGAATTTGATACACTTCACAAATCAATCTATGAGAAGAAGGTTACTATAAAAACAATAAGAATTAATGAAGAATCTATTTGGATTTACCTATGAAAAAGAGAAACAAAAAAAAAAAAGAAATCAAGATCATCTCTTACGAGCTTTTTTTATTGATTTATATCAATAAAATAATTCGTTTTTGTTCTCTTCTCATATCTATTTAACTTTCAACACACGTATCGAACTAAATGTCATTACGCTTCAATAAAAAAACATAGAAAAAAAAAATTTCGATCAACACATTATGTTAACACATTTAACAAATGACAAAAGTCTATTTAAATGCTTTTTTTTTATCATTTATATTTAAATAATCGATGTTACATTGACTATTTTAAAACTAATGATAATTATTTTCTAAAGATAATCTTTCTCAAAATATATCTTAAAAATAGATATTATTTAATAAATATGATAAAATCCATACATTTATTTTATTAATATTTGATTGTTTGTCTGATAAAATATTATTTAGTTGTTTAAATGTTGAAAATCGATTAGTGAAATCAGATGTAGCAAATTTATTCATAATTGTTTATTATTAATTAAACATAATTTTAATATAATTAAAAAAAATAAATAAATAAATGTTTTATCGTTTAAATTTGATAATATAATCTAAAAAAAGAAATGTACAATTATTTTCTAGAAAATGAAATGTGAACGTAGTTCGTTATTCTCTTTTCTTTTATTGTACGTCTCTCCAATCAATAGTTAATAGAAGATTAGTCGGCATCGTCTTCTCTCAATTGTCCGATTACATAACATTTATTTATATTCTATGACGAAAAGAATATATTCAATTAGGTAGGAAACCTTCTTTCTTTTCCTAATAGAAAATGTGTCAAGGACAATGAACAATTATTATCTTCACTTAACAATAAAAAGAAAAGAAAAGAAAAAGAATTACATTTTATTGGTTCAATATAGAAAAGATGTTCTTATAAAGCATCAATGCCTTATTTGTTTCCAGTTCATATCCGTGATGTTATTCTATTCGAGTTTTTTTTTCTCTTATTTGATTCTCACAGATAGAATATGAGAAAAATAATCATTTCTTTCTTTTTCTTTTCATTTTTAAGATAAAAATCTAAAAACAAAGATCAGTGCAGTTCCGTAAAAGATAATAAATTATCTAATTAGAAATAAATAAATAAAAAAATGAAAAAGTAAACAAAATAATATTATATTTTAAAATGTACTTATTGATAATATAAACTCGAATATTTATTTAAATAAAACTAAAAAATTGAATATACTTGCATGAACAAGATTAGTTGAACAAATTTTAATTTATTTTGACTAGAATAAATCATCATCTTTTGTTTATTTGCCTCAAGCATTATTTCAACAATTCGTCTACAGTTCAACATAGTTACTTTACTTTATTTATAACAAAAGAAAAAGAAACGAAATCCACTTGATAAGTAAAAGCATCTTAAATAAGACAAATGTGATTCATTTATTTCTATTAGTATAGACAAATGGCATCTATTTTCTCGTTGATTGATACATATATATACAAGACATCGGAACGGTCTCGTTAAAAAAGAAAAAGCAGTAAAAAAGGTCAAATAGCCGATCGATTAATAATTGCTAAATAAATCTCTGTTGAATATAATATTTATGTTTTTCTCAAATAATATTATTCAGCAAAAAAAAATGAAGAGATAATAAAATTAGTTTTGATGATTATATTAACGAAATAAGAAAAAACAATTTCTAATTGTCTTAATAAAAACTGTTGAAATGTATGATTTATCAATAAAATAATCAATCGATAATATTCTTAATCGATTAAGAATAATATGAATAAGAAGAAAGAGAATAAATTCGTCTAGATTATTTATATTTATTATCATCGAGATTTATTTTAATATTGAAAACGAACTTCAATAAAGTATCATTTTTATTTAATTAAATAAATAAAAAATTATCAAAAAATCTCTATATTTAAATTTTTATATAAATATATATTCATATTATTATAATTATTTTCTTTTGAGACATTATTCGATAATTCGTAGATTAAGCTGACCTTTTTACTTTTTCTTTTTATATTTATGACTATTTAATAATATACTTAAGGGTAAAGAGTTAATTCGATGAATAAATAGTGAAATATTGTTATCAAAAAAATCTATACAGAATAAATATCTATTATGTTTAGTAATAATTTTCCTTTAGATAAAATCGAATTTGAACGAAAAAAAGTTTTTTTTTTGTAAATGGATAACACATATTCTGAATGGGTTCTGTATTGGAATAAAAACTATATTCAGGATACATACGTAGATGCTGAAATAATAATTGACAGATTCGAATAAGATTGTTTGGCAATCATTTATCATATCGAATAAATGAAAAAACAAATAGATGAAGTTTTTTTGTCAAAGAAAATCTTATATCATTTATGTTTTAATAAATTTTTTCTTTTATTTAATAATAAAAACTCAATTCGATTGACTGTCGAGCTGATCGAACAGTTCATATAGTACAATCAATAGTCAATAATGAGTTTATTTATTTAAAATATAGGATAATTACACAATAAAAATACTCGATAAAAAAGTCAATTGTGAAATGTTAACATCGAATAGAGTTTTCAAGCTAGTCTTGGCTATGTGTCTCGATACGAGATAAAC